GTGCTATAATGGCATTGCATTGTCTGCCTCCTCCGTTCAAATCGGATGGCGATTCCGTTGCTGAATGGTTTCTTTGTCACCGTTTTTCGATCAACGGCAGCCACTGCCGTGCTACTGGGCCTCCCCCTCCGCTGCCAGAATGCTTTGAGCAGGTTCTGATCGCCGACTTTCAGTAGCCCACCTCAGTGCTCCAATAGCCTTCGCGGCTCTGGTAACCCGGGGTATGACCGAATCAGTATAATTTTCGATGACGGCAATGCCATGACTGATAAGTTATTAAGTCTTACAGAGATACTGCTATAGTCTCCAACACTCCTCATTTCTCATCCGGGCTTGAAACTGACATCTACGGAGTCAATAAGAATTAATAATTATTATGTTGAAGAAGGGACAGTGTTGTGGGTTCTGAAAGCATCACTTATGAAATATATTTATTCCAAACCGACTTTTATCGATAGGAGCATGTTTGACCTGTCAAATAATTCCTTTAAATGAATACTTGGTGTAGCTAAAGCAAGTTCTGCAGAAGTTTTGCTTCACGTTCGGGTGATAGTCGAGCTAACGGTTTTTCAACAGCCAAGTCGTGGTTAATGTTAGAAACATGAATGATTGAACGCCATCGTGAACATTTCCGCTGTCGCACCTCCATGAAGAACGAATAATTCAGCTGAACTAAATAGCAGTTGTGAAAATTGTGAATTTCTCTGTCCTGAGAAAAAGTGGAACCGAAGCAGGAAAGTGTGAAAAAGGCGAGACACGCGCTATTGTGTGACACGTAATCGAATCTAGAGTCAGTGATTATAACTCAAGACTGACAATGAACGGGCGAACCGGCGAACGGCAAAAGCAATTTAACAATACTTGAATAAAGACCGCCTCAGATAGGGGAGGGGCGTTTTATCGGTCATTAATACTGATTGGTCAGCACTCGGAAACGCATGCCTGCCAGTTTAGTTTAAGTTGCAGGCGTAACGCTAGTAAACTACGTAGTGCATTTCTTACAAATTCGTCACAACGTTCCGTCGCTCGAAAGGCTGAAGAAGTTCTTCTTCGTCTGACGAAGTTCGTCCAATTGAACCGTGCCGCGTGGTCTGCGAATTTGTGAAAACGAATTTGCTCCTCTGGTAAAGTTATGCTTGTATTTAAGTACGTTTTGGTGTTAATGTAACAGCGATAAGTCGGCTCGTCAGTTCGTCGACTCGTCGCTTCCGTAGTTACCTGCTTAATTTAACTCAGAGTTAGTGAAGCGATTTGCGCTGCTGGTTCATCAGGTGAGTCATTTTCAACTTAAGACTGCGATGCGAAACGGCCTTTCGGTACAGAAAGCGTTTATTTCTATCGTTGGTGCAGTAATTTAATAAAAACGCGACTAGTTTGTTTCGGTTGGGAGGGAATCTTCCGGCGATTCGGCGATAGCGGATGTGGGTTTCGGTTCTGCGAACCAACCGCCCATCATCGTGCGAGAAGATCGGCTGGAAACACTTATTCCCATGCGGCGATGATGAGCAGGAGTCTGAGAATGGCGGCTGCGGACCTGTCGTCCGTGCCTCACTCGGCGCAGCTCGTCTCCGTTTCAAGCGGCTCCGTTCCGCTAGGTCGGCACTAGTACATCATATGCTACATAATGTTCGCTTTTTGCCTCGCATTGATGAGGGTGTTGTGCCCGTCCCGTCCTCTCGGCCGACCGACGGTTGGTTGCACC